TCTGCAATAGATCTTTTGTTCTTCCACCTCCATTGGCACATCTGCTTCCCAGAGGACCAGAGGGACCTAAAGGAGAACACAGCATGTATGAGATTCCAGAAGGCCCACCGCACCCCTCGGGCAGGGCATCTCTGTGAGTCTTGGGGTGCAGAGCCATGAGGCGGCTTGTTTCCCCTTCCTCCTGCCCGCCTCCTTCTGGCTCCGAGGAGGGCCTGGGTAAACAGCACTGGAGAAGCAGGGCAGAGAAAGAGATGCTCACCAGAGAAAGAGCCCCATCAGCGTGGAGAGGATGCATTTGTAGCCACTCTCCTCCTTGGAATTCATACAGAATTCAATTACCGGCCGTGGACAGCAGCTCAGGGACCATCTCGTCCCGTACCCATTGGACAGATGAGAAAGCTGGAGCCAGAAGGAGACGCACAGGGAGGAGAGCCCGGGCTGGAACTGGGCTCCCGACTGCCAGGGCGGCTCTTCCCAGCACCGTGCAGTGAAGCCTGCAAACATGGTGCCTCAGGCCCTCTCTACAGACATGCAAAGGGGGAGGCTCCACGCAGGTCCACCGGCTGCCTGGGGTCACGCGACACTGAAATTCATACACCAGTAGCTCCCCTCCTTCTTGATGGGCAGGGCGGGCTAAAAATCAAGAAGATATGGGACCAAACAGGGTAACATGAGGGGGGCGCCGAGCCAACAGCCCCCACCAGCTAGGCCCATTATGCCAGGCCCTGCCTCCCAGGAAGACAGACAGTAGGACCCTCCCCAGCTCCTCTGGAACAGTGACCACGAACCCTCGAAAACCGTCATTCTCCCCCCATCTATTGGATGGGCCAATATTAGAGCCTTCTCCCAGGAGGCCACCGTGGGGCTTAGATAAGAGAAGATATGGAAATGAAAATAGTCAACAATTGCCAAGGCAAGTTACCGTGGTCCAGTCACTGCCCTAAGCACTTTCCAAGTACATTTAACCGTCACTGCGACGCCGTTGTGAGACAGGCCCCCTAAACACCCCCATTTTCCAGATGAGAAAATGGGGGCACCAAGAATCACAGCTGGGAAGTGGCAGAGCATGGACTGGAAGTGGACAGAGGCTGCTTCCAAACCCCGCTGTCCATAGCCCCGGCAAAGCCGCTCCTGTGAAGGAGTGTTCAGCATGGTGCCAGGCCCGCGGAGCTGCTCAGCGATGGTGCTGTTGGCATAATAATAATTACTGCTGCCGTCGGGGAAATTTGCCACCAGAAGTGCTGTCGGCCCCAAAGTCAAAAGGATGAGCACCCTGCCATGTTTTACAAAACTTTGTCATTTCTTCTCTTAAGAAGTAAGGGACTAGTAGGCGAGTGCTCGAGATAAATTCTTGATGAACCAAAGCATTTTATGGTCTTTTTGGAAAACACAAAAAGAAGGGGGGGGGAACCCTATAGTCCTACCACCCTCCTTCCACTTTTCCGTGCATGTTTATTTTTTATTTTGGTTCATAACTGCTAACGTGCTGTGAGGGATTTCTGGAATCTGCAGCCCCCACTCCACATGATCCCATGAGCTTTCCCCCATGTATATTTTTAGTGGCTGCAGGCTATTCCATCCAGGGGAGGTCTTCTTCCAGCCCCCTCCTACTTCCTCCAGCTTGGGGACTTTACTTGATGCGACTTGGAGAAGTAAAGGCCTAACAGTAAACTTTCTGGAACCAGGAAGCTGGTGTCAGAGAAGGCTTGGGAACGGAATGCCCTTCTCCATGTCCTAGTGATGAAACAGCGCTGGCCACTGTGTATTCCGTCCATGCTGAAGGCCTCCTCCTCCCCCATAGGTATGTTTGAACCTCACCTTCTGGGCTGAAGATTTCTTATCTGCTAAAGCTGCCCACGCCATCTTCCAACCGGAGGGTGGAGACCTAGGATCTCACCCTCAGCCTGACACTACAGGGCAGACCTTGGATCCCTCACTTCCGGGGCCTCTGCCTGTCAGTTCAGGGGTGTGTCACCTCTCCATCCTGCCCAGTGAGAAGACCTGACAAGGGAGAGTCCCGCTCCAGCTTTGTCCCTGAGTCACCGTGGACCCTCAGTGTCTTGTGAAGCTCCCCGGGCTCTGCTTTGCCATCTCTTTGTAGGAGGGCTGGAACAGGAGGACCATCAGGCAGGCGGAGGCGAGCTCACAGGCACCCACTTCTCCAATTCACCCAACTGAGGCACTCCCTGAGGACAGAGACCCCAGATCCCAAACTCCAAAATGTGAATACACCACAAATAACTGTCAACAACTTCCTCTACGGCCCAAGCCCACTCCTGTCTTAGAGCCTTTGCACTCAAGGGGCCTCTGCCTGGAGCGCTCCCTCCACGCCTCCTCCCATGACTGGCTCCACCTCAACACTCAAGTCTCCACACAGACGTCATCTCTTCCAGAACACCCACATCATCACCCTTATAAAGGTGCCGCCACCTTCCATTACCCACCCAGTTTTATATTTGTAACAGCACTGAACACGTATTTGAAAGGAGATTGTTGACTTCAGTGTTCCCTCGTTCAGTGACCACTGAATGTCACCTCCAACACAGCAGGGACAAGGACTGTCAGACTGTCTAAGTTCCCACTTACTCCACCTTCCCCCACAAACATGTGAGAGAAGAATCCTAGGTGCTCCAGGCACAACTGCATGTATAGAACCCACATGAATTGAGCACCTGCTGTATGCCAGGCACCGTGCCAAGACTTTTATACAGAGCAATTCTGTAATACTCCCAATAACCCCCAAGAGAGCGACATGATTAACATTTTATAAATGGGGAAACTGAGGCACAGGGCAGTTGAATAATTTGCCCAAGGTCCCATGGCTAGTGTGCAGGGGAACTAGGATACCCTACTACACACTGTAAGGATGTGCTGAACCAGGACGGGACAGAGTCCCTGTCCTTGTGAAGCTCAGGGGCTAACAGGTGCACTGGACTGGTCCACAATGTGGGAAGTCAACGCCCCTTCCCGCAGGAAGTGATGCCTCAGCTACATCCTGAGGGCATGTGGGGCTGTGCTAGGGTGAGGTGAAGGGAAGGGCACTCTGAACAGAACAGAGGCCAAGAGGCACATGAGAGAGCAGAAAACCCAAGGGACCAGAAGGAAGACCACGTGGCCGGAGGAGGGAATGTGGAGTGTGCTCTGAGTCAGGGGGTGTGGTCACCCCAACCCTCACTGACTGAGGTTGAAAAAAGTCCCAGCAGACAACATATGAGGAAAAATGGTTGGAAAAATGGGCAGGGTCCCCCCAGATCACACAAGGCCTTGGCAAGGTCAGGGACCCCAATTTTATCCTGAGGTTTCTAGACCATCCTTCAAAGACTGTGTGAGCCCCTAACTCAGTGATGCCCACAGACCACAGGGGTCTCTGGAAATTTCTGCTGACTCATTGTGAGACCTTGGGCACCTCCAGGCCCTCTCTGTGTCTGAGTCTCCCAACTGCTACTGGATGACCCAGTCCCAAAAGCACATCCTTGCTTCCTCAGCCTTGCATCCCGCAAACAGAACACTGTTGACCAATGAGATCTTGGCATTCCTAGAGTCTGATTCTGGGACTCCTGTGTACTGGCCATCCCATACTGCTGAGGCCAGCCCACCACCATGGCACTTTGCCAAGCAGCTTCTGGGCTGGGGGTTGAGTTCTCCTGCTCCTCAGTCCTGCCAAGATATGGGAGCTCCCTGAGGTTTTGGCTGGATTGGGTTGGGGGGGTCTGCTCGGATTCTCCAGGAGACAAAGAAGCTGACCTGCAAAGAGTTCCAGCAGGAGCCCCGCTCCCCCTCCCTTCCCCCCTCTCCCTTCCCAGTCCACGTGTCTCTATTGTCTGCTCCCCGCTTCAGGGAAAGACACAGCCTCGGATGTGTCAAAACCACCACCCCCCAGCAGCAGGGAAATTAATTACTGGACGATTTTCACTTCCTCTGGCAGCGCCCGCCTGAGCTAGGCACCGGAACAGGACCGGCTGAGCGGGGCAGGCGTCGGCATGGAGGAGTTGCTCCCCTGCCCCAGTCTGGGAGAAGAAAGTTGAACCCCAAACCCAATAGGAGGCTTCCCAGTGGGAAGCTGAGCTGGAGTGGGGGGGCTACTTCCTCTACTTAAAGCCAAGTGTCCACACTGGCCACTTCAGGATTGAGGGCGAGGGAGAGGACTGGAGGCAGGAAGGTCACCACTGGCGACTCACACTTTTTTCTCCGCACCCCTTCTCTGTGTCCCCATGTACCTGAACCCCACCTGCTTGGACGGCTCTCCCTCCCCTCCCCTGGGCTTCTCCCTCTCGCGCGCACTTTTCCTTTCTTTGCGTCGCTGGAGGGCTTCCTTTTTGTGTGTCTGGATCTCTCCCTGCCTCCCGTGGGTGTGTGAGTGTATGCTGCTACTTCTCTCCATCTCTGTCCTTCTTCTGTTTCTCTCGTGTCTTTTTGTCCTTATCTTGGTCTCTCTGTTTCTATTTCTACCTCTTCAGCGTGTGTCTCTCTTTCTCTGCATGTCTCTTTCTGTCTTTCTCCGCGGATCTCCTCTCTCTCCTCTCTCTCTCTTGCCCCCACCCCATACATACTCCTCTTTCTCTGTGTCTGTCTCCGCGCCTTTCTCGCCCTCACTTTCTCCCCTCCTGCCTGCCCGCTGCTCCCTGCGCCTGGCCTGCCCCCACCGCCGCCGGTTCAGGGGAACGTGTGCGGAGCGATTGTCCTGGGGGACATTTGATGGATTAGAGCGCTGAACAGTTCCATTGCTAGGGGACCACCTGATCTCCTCCAGCTTGCGTCCCATATAAAGCCGGCAGCCGGAGTGCTGAGCACAGCTCCAGCGATCGCCTGTCTGCGCGCCGCCGCCGCCGCCGCCAAGCCCGAGCCGAGCCGGGCGGCTGCCACTGGGGCCGGCTCGGCGCTGTTGTCCGCCCGCCCGCCCGCTGGGAGCTGTCCAGTGCTGAAACCCCGCGCAGACAGCCAATCGCGCCCGGCTGGCCGCCTCCCCCCACCGGGGCCCCACGCAAGTGCCGCCGCCGAGCCCCCCGCCAGTCGCAACATGCCGCGCTCCTTCCTGGTAAAGAAGATCAAAGGGGATGGCTTCCAGTGCAGCGGGGTGCCAGCCCCCACTTATCACCCTTTGGAGACCGCCTACGTGCTGCCTGGCGCCCGAGGGCCGCCCGGGGACAACGGTGAGTGGGACCGGCGCGGCGGTAGAGGGGAGGGGGTTCGGGCCCTCACCAACTCGGGCTACGAGGAGGGGTGCGCCGGCGGAGAGCCCCGAGAGGAGACTTCCCTGGAGGCGTGCGCCTCCCGGGCTTCCGGAGGGCCCGGCGGGCGGGGCAGGGGCTAGGACCCTACAAAGGGAAAGTCGCAGGGTCGGCCCATTCCGAAGCCATGCGCCAGATCGGACTCGGAAAGTTGTGGCCCCAGAACGGGGCTACAGTGAGGTGTGGTGAGAGAAAGGAGATAGAGGGGCGCCCGTGAAGGGCTAATGCTGGGCAGGCTAATGCTCAAGGCGGTCCGAGGGTCCCCTCCCCCTGGCTGAGTGAAGGAACTGGCTACCTAAGTGTGCTCCCCTGGTGGGGAAGGTGAGCGGACCTAGACTACCAATCTCCGGGAAGATGGGGTTGGCTCCCAGGGGGTAGCTGGGACGCCCTCCTTCCCTTCCAACCTGCTCCCCCTGGCGATGCCAGACAAGTGTTCTCAGGGCCCCTCTCTCAGCAACTCTTTTGTTACCCTCAGCCACATGCCTGCCAAAGGCTGGGCCTGTCCTGGGGACCGTGAGGAGGAGGAGATTTCCAGGAGGGGCTCCCCAAAAGTGACTCCTGGATCCCTGGGCTGCAATCCCTCCCCACTCCAGCTTCTCACCTGCCTCCAGAGCCAGCCCTGCTGCTCCTTCCAAGTCCCCCACCCCCCGACACACTCCATCTCTTCTCAGAGCAAGTTCCTGCAGGGACGAGGGTTTGGGGAACAAGGGAGGTCATTCAGGCCCAGAGCAGGGCGATCTGTGGAGGGCGTGGGAAAGAACGGACGACTGCTTCTGTGGACCCATCAAAGGGCTCACAAAACCGTTCTCGGTTGGCCCCCACCAGGGCAGGTGTCTGGAGAGGAGGCATCCCTTTGGCAATAAGAAATCTGACATCACATGTGGCATCAGCTTTGGGGTGTGTGTGTGTGTGTGTGTGTGTGTGAGAGAGAGAGAGAGAGAGAGAGAGAGAGAGAGAAGAAAAGAGAAGAGGAGAGAGGAGAGGAGAAAGGGATGAGGATGAGGGGGAAGGTGGCCTGGCAAAGGCAGGAGCCCAGGAGAGTGGGAGCTCCTGCTTTTGGGATTTCCAAGCACTTCACCCACATTCCATCACTCTGCCAAGCCAGGTAGCAAGAGGGCGCTGGGCAAAGGGCTCTGTGACCTCATCAAGGTCAAAGAAATTAGGGAGTGATCGGGAATACAGCTGTGGCCCCTCAGCCCCTGGCTCACCCAGAGACCTGAGAGAACCAACCCCCTTTCCTGTTGCCCACATGCTCCTTACTCTACTGTCCTCTTTCCTTGATCCCAGGGCCTCTTGGGGTCCAGGACAGCAGCTCAGGGACATGGCTGAGCTTGGCCGAGTGCTGGCAGGACAGAGGGTGGACCTGGGGCCATGCCAGGGCTGGGGAGTGCGTGCTGGGGGCTGGGCAGAAACTGAAATGCGTGCAATGCTGCGGTGGGGATCCCTCGGGGGACTGGCAGAAGTGTGGGGCTCCCACCCGCCTCGAGGCACCCGTGGTTCTGCCCCAAGCCAGCTGAGGAAACCCAGAGAAGCCCAGAGACTTTCCCCACGCACAGCCGAAACTGCGGGCTGCTCCTCAGGAGGAAGGCAGGAGTGCCTCACCTTGAATTCAGTCCAGAAAAGCTTCAGAAGGAGCCCCTGAGAGAATGGTGGGGGCGGGATCAGGGCGAAGCCATCAGCAGAGGTGTTCCTGTGGAGGCTCTACCAGACTAGACACCCTAGAGCCACCCTTATCTCTGGCCCTTTCCCCAAAGGGCTCCAGACCAGCTCCCTGGCCACATGGGAACCCCAAAACTGTCCCAATAGGCTGACACCTGGCTCGGAACTCTGGGAGGCCTGGGCTCTAGATCTCTGGCTTGCTGTGTGACCTTGGGCAAGTGCCTTCCATTCTCTGGTCCTCTGTCTCCCCAGCAGTAAAAGAGTTTGCATAGCATGAACTAAGTGTCCTTCCAACTTTGACAATGTCCATTTCTCTGAAGGTCAAGTGTGATGTGGGAGGCCCTGGAGATGCCTGCACAAGGGAGTAAAAGGATGCAGGGGGCCATTGTCAGGGTTTTTGTGGGGCTCTATTTACCAGCCGATGCCTGGCTGAGGGTGGCAGAGTTTCTGAGATCCAGCATTTTTCTTGGCCTCAGTCTTTGCAGGCTGCCCTGCGGTGAAGCCAGGCGCCCTGGCCCGGCTGCCTTGGCCGTGTCTGCAGTAGAGGGTCGGTGCCAGAGACCAAGGGGTGACCCTTCAAGCTGAGTATGACCAGGAAGCACAGGGTCTGCCATATCCTGTTTTCAGGGGCCTCTCTCATCCCTGGTGGGTGGCTGGACTGGGCAGCTTGGGGCTCCCTCATTCCAGGGTTGATAGGGGCGCTGGGGTCCTCAGAGAGCCTGCCAGCTCCTAGTGGTCCGTTGTCTCTGCTCTGCCGGAAATAACCTTGCTGAGCGTTTGAGGGAAGTGTGAAAAATTGCTGAGCTGACGTTTTTTTCTCTCCCAGCGTGTGTAAGTGTGCTGGGTAAACAAGGAGAAAGAGAGGAGGGGGGAGGTGAGGAGAGTGAGGGAGGAAAGGAGGGAGGGAGGAGAAGGGAGGGAGAGAGGGAGGGCCTGGGGCTGGAGATAGTTCCAGTTATTAGAAAGATCCTCTTACCAGCCGCTCCTGCAGCAAGGGCTGCAGGGTCAGAAGGATGGTGGGAGGGGAGTGTGGGGGGTGAGGAGGGGGCCTGTGCAGGTGCAGGTCAAGGGAATCAAAGGCTCCTAACTGATGAAGATGCAAGACCCCACATGAAAGAGGTGTACCCCCAGCTCAGGGAATGCCTGGGAGTGCTGGAGAATTCCTGGAGGACTCCTACACACACACACACACACACACACACACACACACACACAGAGCAAGGCTCTTCTTCGCTTCCCTACACCGCTCCTCTTCAGCTTCCACGGGCTGGGCAGAGGGTGCAGCAGGTGTGTCTGGCCTCCGGGCTCCCCCCAAACCACAGAGCCCATAAATAGGGGAGGGGCAGCCCCACAAACAGGGAAAGCTCTGCAGAGGTCTCCAAAGAAGGGAGACCAGATCTAATTTCACCACCCTCTCCAATACCATGCCTCTTTGCTCCTCCCCCTCCCCCCTCCCCCCCCCCACTATTTTCTGCCTCCTTGGAGCCTCCCTTCCCCTCCTCTCTCCTGGGTGATTCTGAGCACAGATTCAGTCTGTGGGTGAGATGCCAGCTCACATCCTCCTAACCCTTGCAGAAACTAGCCCTCCAATTCCCCCAAGTGCCCCCCTTCACAGGCCCCGACTCCCTTCTGGGGGGAACACCGTGGACTCTCACCATCCCAGAGAAGACTGCTGCGTGCCCTCTGCACAGCAGGGGTCTCTCCGGACCCCAGCTGAGTGTCTACCTTCTCCATACCTTGTCTGTGAACCCCAGATGGGCCCCAGGTCCCCCTGCCTCTGCACCCCTTGCCGGTGCTGCCCTCCTGCTCCTTCAGAGTGCATTCGACCCAGGCAGATGAGGGATCAATGCCAATCCAATAACGCAGTTGTCTGCCCTCCACCACTACATTAAGTCTCCCTGCTAGCAGGCCGAGGACGCACTCCTACTTCTGCCCGAGGGCTTATCTGGCTGACAAATCACACCAGTGCCCACTTCCTCTCACTCCCTCTGACGGCGCCAGCGAGTCGCCCTGGGCCAGGCCCAGGAGCCTGACTGAAAGGCCTCATCCCATCCTCCCCACGCCTCAGAAAGCCCATGTGGGGAGCAGGGATACAAAAGGGCTGCCCCAATTCCGTGGCTGAGGGGGCCCAGAGAAGGTCGGGGAGGTGCCCGATGACACACAGCAGGCCCATCTGAGTCTTCTTTAACCATAACTTCCCCTGGCATCTTGGTCTTGATCTGGGTCCACGGTCCAGACTAGAGACATGTCAGAGATACAGGTCCAATGTCCAGTTCAACGTCCAGTCCAATATCGAGGTCCAGAGCTGAGGTCCAGGTCCCATGTCCATACCCAATGTCCACACCCCACCCCAGCTCTAGGACTAGGTCTGAGATCTAGGTCCAGGGTCAACGCCTGAAATTACAGGTCCAGTCCAAGATTCAGAACAAATCCATATCCAAGTTCAAGTTTCAACATCCAGGATCAGGTCCAGGTCAATGTTCAGGGTTTCAAGGTCCAGGTCCAATTTTTAGTCCAAGGTCACGTTCAGGTCCATTCTCAAGTCTGCCTAGACTTCCTCCGTAGCTTTGGACTAATATTCCCTACCCCAGCCTCAGTTTCCCTCTCATTAAATCAAGCAGTTGAACTTGATCTCTTTCAGCTCTGACTTTCTAGGGAATCAGAGATCTGATTTTCCTCAGAGTTAGTCAGCGGGAGTGTGGAACAACAAGGCCCATGTGGAGTATAAAATTCAGGGCCCATGGTCCCCCTAAAGCCTGGGGTCTGAGGGGTACACCAGGGGCCAAGCAGAGCCTCCACTCCTTGGACGGTCTAGGCCTGTGGTTCCCGAGGGAGGGCAGGAGAGGACACCGAGCCCCTACGTGGGCCCAGCGACGGTGTGTCCTGAAGACTCCCCATGCCACACACACATGCACACCCACAGGCCAGGCCAGAGGCAAGGCGCACACGGGGGTGTTAGTTCTGACCTACAGGGGCAAGCTGGGGGCCAGGGAGGGCCCCTGACTTGCCCGAGGTCACAAGGGCATCAGTGGTGGACCCTGTCACACCTCCCCAGTGGGTGCCTCACCCGCACTGTAGGGGTGCCAACAGCCTGCAGGCCTCTGGTGGGCCTGGTGAGACACTGAGAGATGAGGCCCTGAACTCCTGGCCTCCGTCCCAGCTGTGGTCTCCCCTGGAGTGACCACTGCCAGCCTCTGGGCAGGAAGGGAGGTTGAAATGGGCTCTCTGGCTGCACCTGCCTGAGGCAGAGGGAGGGAAGGGCA